ATCTCTGACTCTAAAATTCTGGTACGAAATCAGGGACAAAAAGGGGGACCCTGGGGAACTGCTACGGGACGCCCAGATCTCTAGTCTGGCAGTAGGAATCCCGACTTTTGACCACAAAAAGTGGAGCGAGGCTGGATGCTCAAAATTGAGCACCTATACAAGGACGGTGGGTTGCTGCCCTTTCCGAACCTCCAAACACTCTTCCAAACACTCTTCCACATACCAGGATATGGATATAGTAAGAAATGGTGGATATGTTAGGAATTACCAGGGCAATATTAACCCTCTAAAGGTGGTAGTTGTGATGGGAACTCATCCAAATAGAATTGGGAAACAGAGGAAGACATTATATATATATATATATATATATATATATATATATATATATATATATATATATACACACATATATACAATTCAAAGAGGTTCTGCACTCCAGCTTTCCTTCTGTATCTTGCCTGGTGCTCAGCTGCACATTATACAATTCAAATGAGAAAAGCCAGCACTCAGGGACTTGTAAACAAATAACTTCTCGGTTTATTCCAATATAGTCATCAATGTTTCAGTTCATGTTCATGACTTTCCTCAGGACATAAAAAACTTGAGTGCTGGCTTCTCTCATTTGAATTATATATATATATATATATATATATATATATATATATATATATATATATATATATATATATATATATATATATATATATACCTTGGCACTATCTCCAATTCAAAATAAGTTTCTTGATGCCTTGGTGCAATCCCACGTTATGAAGTATATAAACAAAAATAAGAGATGCACTCTCAGGGCTTTTGTAGTCAATATATAGGTATTTATTAAAACGAAGGTTTACATCATCTGATCGACGTTTCGAAGGCTGGATATAAGGCATAGTGTGGAAAACGTTATAGAGGTCTGGAGGGATAGTGTATCTAACTTGATATGGGGAAATGATTAGTTTTGAAGGATGGACTGGTTTATTGACTAGATAGTGAAATGTCAAAGAAAGGCATTGAGCTCAAAATCAATATTCAAACCTTTCGGCTCCAAAGTGTCTAAACAAAATATCCATTTGGCTTTGACTTTGTCTAGCTCTTTTTCTAGATTTCCCCCTCTCTAATTAACATTGACCCTTTCAATTGCCATAAATCTCATATCTTGAGGATTCTTAGAGTAAAATTCTTCAAAGTGTCTGGATAAATTATGGTTGGGGCCTCTCTTGATATTTCTAATGTGTTCCCCCAGTCTGGTCTTGAATTGCCTTTTTGTTCTACATACATATTGCTTATTGCAGGGACAAATTAGGATATAAATGATTCCCGTAGAATTACAATTGTGTGCCGTGTTGATTTTGAAGCTTTCCTTGGTTTCCTTATGAAAAAAATCTTTATCTGTAGGTTCCTGTAAGATGTTATTTTTGCAGCCTATACATTTACCACATTTGGTGAATCCACATATGTGGGTGCCTACTGACTTTTTCTTCTTTTCTAGGACAGTGGGTGCTAACATCGTTTTGAGATTGGGTGCTTTAGAATAAATAATTATTGGTTTCTCCCCTATTATGGTATCCCCTTTCAGAACACCCCAATTTTTGTGTAGGATGTTCTGAACTTTGTAGGCCTGATTACTAGATTTTCTAATAAAGGCAGGAATTTCCATTCCTGTGACTGATTAAAAATAAACTGCAAATTGTACGGGTTATGATTGAGGTAGATTTTAAACTGATCTAGTGAGGTAGTGTCTCCATCCCATAAAAATACAATACAAAATACAATAAAAAATACAGTCATCAAGCGGAAGAGTAGATCCTTCGCCTCAGCTAAAACTGGAGTCATTTTAATTCAATATAAAGTAGGCATAGTTTTTGGAATGAGCACTCCTAGATCTTTAGAATCGAAAGGAGATCTGTGGACTTAGACTAATTTATTTAAAAGCCTGTTGTTGGATGGTATATCCATATTATTCAAAAAGAGTCATGGCATTGGGGAGAGATGTTACTTGTTCGGAGAGATAAAGAAGTACATTGTCTGCAAAACCCATAAGTTTAACTGTGCAAGATCCCACTTGAATTCCATATTTGCCTGTGTAAACATATCTAACAAGGGGGTTTAAGGATATGGTATAAATAATAGGAAAAAGTGGGCAGCCCTGTTTCATCCCTTTAGTAATCATGCGGTCTTCCGAATCTAAGCCATTAGAATTGATTTTAGCAGACTGTTGTGTGTGTGTGTGTGTTTGTGTATAAAGCCCTCAAGAAATTATAGAATGGGATTTCAAAGAAACAATATTCTAGTATCCTAATAAGATGAGGCCAGGCTACCTGGTCAAAGGCTCTCTGAGCGTCACAACTGAGTAAAACTGCTTGATTTTTTTTCTAAGTAGTTATCATACAAGGAGGCGGATGCTACTGCCATTCATATTCCCTGAATAAATTGTTGGAGTCTATTGGCCAATATTTTTGTGAGGAGTTTGAATTTATTATTAAATAGAGTGATTGGCCTATAGGAAGTTGGGCGTGCTGGATTCTTGTTGGGGTTTGGAATTAGAATTGTTCTAGATAATGTGAGGTATTTTTGTCTAGATAAATGGCATTTAAAAGGGAAGTTAAAATCCCAGTCATCTGGTTTTGCTTCTACATAAATGTGCTATTTTGTTATGTCAGACAGCGAGGCTAAGTATATATACATATCAACAACAACAAAAACGGCAAGGCTATATATGTCAGATGCGTGTTTGCCAAGTCTGGGTTAAGTTGGTTATATTTAGTGTCCCACTGTTTTTTTTATATATTACTACTTTAGAGGTTTGCCAGAACAGCATGGCATTGTCTAAATTGTCATTAGGAGAGTTAACCCAGCCCCCTACTAGCATGTTCCTAAAGGAGTCTTGTGTCATTTGATAAGTTGGAAACCTCCATTGTGGGATAAAGAGGAGAGGTGGGTCTAAATTCAAAACTAAGTCAGTAGGTGCGTGATCTGTTTTTAAGATATTTGGAGCATATACATTAACTAGGGTATAACAGGTTCCTTCTGAGTAATGTCTGGTATAAGGAATCTTCCCTCTGGATCCGCAATTTGGATATGGTTAGTTGGGATGATGGATTTATTAAGTAGAATGGCAACCCCCCTAGATTTGGAATGGTAAGGGGCTAAAATACATGATTCTATCCATCTCACCCTCAGACAGCGAGGCTAAGTATATATACATATCAACAACAACAAAAACGGCAAGGCTATATATGTCAGATGCGTGTTTGCCAAGTCTGGGTTAAGTTGGTTATATTTAGTGTCCCACTGTTTTTTTTATATATTACTACTTTAGAGGTTTGCCAGAACAGCATGGCATTGTCTAAATTGTCATTAGGAGAGTTAACCCAGCCCCCTACTAGCATGTTCCTAAAGGAGTCTTGTGTCATTTGATAAGTTGGAAACCTCCATTGTGGGATAAAGAGGAGAGGTGGGTCTAAATTCAAAACTAAGTCAGTAGGTGCGTGATCTGTTTTTAAGATATTTGGAGCATATACATTAACTAGGGTATAACAGGTTCCTTCTGAGTAATGTCTGGTATAAGGAATCTTCCCTCTGGATCCGCAATTTGGATATGGTTAGTTGGGATGATGGATTTATTAAGTAGAATGGCAACCCCCCTAGATTTGGAATGGTAAGGGGCTAAAATACATGATTCTATCCATCTCACCCTCAGGGATTTGCTTACATTCCATGATAATAGCTTAAGCTCATGTGACTTACACTGATGTTGGTATAGAGGGGGTGAGACATTAGCCTGGATCATAAAGGCAGGTCAATAGATTATGCATTATGTATACAGTTGCCCCTTCACCACGTCATAGCCAATGGGGAGTGCAGAAAGATAGTGAAAAGCCAAAAGCTACCAAAAGGTAAATTGACTGCGGTAGAGAGCATAATAATAAGTAACAATAAAAACAAAGAACATAGCATTAAGAAATATAGCCCCGACAAGCAGGTAATCTCCAGAGAGTGCCACATACAGCCAGTGAACCACCAGTTGATGTGTTTTGGTGATCCTTGGATCTTCATGATCTTTCTGCCACTTTCAACACTGTTGACCACCCATTTCTACTCCCCACCATTTGCAGTCTTGACCTCAGTGACACTGCAATTTTCTGGCTCTCTTTCTATCTCTCTGATCACTTCTTCAATGTCTCCTTCTCTGGCTCATCCCCCTCTTCTGTACCTCTCTCAGCTGGGGTTCCTTAAGTCTCTGTAGTGGGACCTCTTCTTTTCTCAATTTACACTGCCTCTTTTGGTGACCTAATATCATCCTGTAACTTTCAATATCACCAATGTACTGATAATACCCAGATCTACATCTCCTTGCCTGATCTTTCTCCCCGTGTGCTGTGTTGTGTCATTGACTGCCTATCTTATGTTTCTGACTGGATCACTTCAGGATTCCTAAAACTCCACCTTTCCTAGACCAAACTCCTTGTCTTCCCTCCCTCCAAGTCTACATCTGTCGCTGTTTCCCTTCAGGTCAACAGAGATGTTATACCTTCTAACCCACAGACAAGAAGTCTTGTTGTGCTCTTTGACTCTGACCTTTAAATAAAACCTATCACCAAATCCTGTTGCTTTCATCTTAAAAAACATTTCTCACATTCACCCCTTTATCACTGAGGATGCAACCAAATGCCTCATTGTTTTCTGCCTTGATTATTGTAACCCTCTACCTATTGACCTTAATAGTGTTCAAATTGCCCATATGCAGTCTATAATGAATGCCTATGTCAGATTCATCTAGTTAAATGGTATAACTCTCAAACCTCACCCATTTGTCAGTCTCAATACCACATTCAATTCTTCTTATCTCTGCAGCACTTCATAAAAATCTTTTTTTTTCAATTTGACAGTTTTTATTTTCATAAAGATAATGGGGTACAGAAAGAAAAGGGGGGAACAATTAGGGGGTGTCATATTATACAACATTTGTTTCCACTTTAAGCATGTTCTATAAAGGAACCTTAGCAGGTGTCAATTTCTGCATCACAGTCGGCATGAATTATGCCGGGGGGGACACGGTGACACCTGAGATTCGCATGGTCGGTGTTTGGTAGTGCCTGGGGTCGTGGAGGTAGTTTCTCTGTGTGCGACTCGTTGCGTCTGGGTAATGACACAACCTCAGGAGTCGTGAGCCGATTTATGGCTGGTACACCGGTTTAGTGGATTCCTTTGCAGTGTGGAGTTGGGGGTGCAACTGGGGGGGGGGAGAAACAGGGAGAGGGTGGAGGGGGGGATATGCTTTGGAGGTATGCGGTAGTGGCATGCGAACGTGATACCTGGAATACATATGCCCAGCTGTAGGTGTTGTCATATGTTGCACTGCGTGGTGCGACGAGAGGATAGGTCTACCCTGGGGATAGGTGTGTTGTTCTGAGAATACCAGCCCCTGTGGCAGCTGGAGGAGGGGTAGGGCCTATTCAAGTAGTTGGACTCTGTGGGATAGCAACTAGGATCTGCACTTCATCGGTGGTACCTACACCGTCTTTGATCCTTGTAGGGCGTTGGGTATTTAGGTAGTGTTAACCCCATCCCAGTAGCTGACCCATGGTGCCCAGGACTCTTGGAAAGACTTTCTTTGTGAGGCAGTTTTGGTCGTCATGTTTTCGTACGTGTGGTATTGGTGGATTTTGGTTAGCAGGTGGGTTTTAGAAGGGCAGTGAGATTGCTTCCATTGGTTTGCTATGAGGTTTCGTACTGCCAATGCAGTAATCGCCATAATGCATTTCACTGCTTTCGAGGTTGAGTGCGGGTAGGAGAGGAATAACCCAGTACGGGCGTCTAGCGGTGGTTCTGTGATGCCGATGGTTCGTAGGATGGATTGCGCTTCGTCCCACAAGGGGCGTATACGTTGGCATGACCACCAGATGTGGAACATTGTGCCCGTTGTCTCCCCACATCTCCAGCAGAGTGGTGATGCAGAGCTGTACATTATGTGGAGCCTGTGGGGCGTTAGGTACCACCTGTATACTAGTTTCTTGTGGGCCTCTATGTGTGAGTAGCACTGTGTAATACCTTTGAGGGCAGTTGGGGACGCCTCCACTTCCTTGTCAGTTATCGGCTCATTGCAGTCCGCGAGCCATTGGGTCACGAAGGCAGGGGAGTAGTGTGGAGCTGTTTTCATAGCTACTTGGTAGCATAGGGCGAGAGTTTTGGGTTTAGTTGGGGTGTGCCAGCATCTGTCATACAGTGTGTCTACTACCTTTGTGCTCTGGTTAATCTCTGTGGTGATTTTTGCCACGTGGGAGGGTATGATGCTCTTGATTTGCATGTAAGGGAATACTGAGGAGTTGGTCAATTTGAATTCCTGTTGTAGTTCTGGGAAAGGTTTGATGCGGTTGTGGTGCATGATCTGGTCGAGTTTGTGAATTCCCAGTTTGACCCAGGAGTTTAGTGAGAGCCACGGTGAAATTGCTCGTAGGGCTGTCAGCGGTGTGCGTGGGTGGAATTTGTGAGTGGTGTTTTGCGAGTGCCTGAGCACGTCCCAGTGGTGTAGGGTGAGTGATGTGGTTGGGAACAACAGGTAGTCTTTGGGGCGTAGCGTTTTGGGGGTCCATAAGATGTCTACTAGGGGTGTCTTGTCGGATTTCGCTGCTTCCATATCTACCCACTGGTATGTGCCTTTGGGGGTGTGTAATTTCACTGCAGTTTCTAGGTTGGCTGCTTTGTAATACGTATAAATATCTGGGAGGCCCACACCCCCCTCTGCTGTGCACTGCTGCAGTAAGCGATGGGATAGTCTGGGTTTGCGTGAGTCCCATATGTATGCGGACAGGGTCCGTTGGAGCTGTTTAAAGAAGGCGGGTGGGGCTTGTATATGTAGGAGGCGAAACACGTACAGTAGTTTTGGCAGGAGAGTCATTTTAATAGTGTTGATTCTGCCTAACCATGACAGTTTGACCGGTTTCCACTTGAGGCATTCCGCTTTGCACAAGCGGAGCAGTGGTTTGTAGTTGTAGTGGAACATACGTTCCGATGTGGGCGCTATCTTAACCCCTAAATAAGTGATGTGGTCGGCTCTCCAGTCGAATTTATATGTTCGCATGAGTTCCTGGACCTGTGTGTGCGGAAGGCCTATGGGCAGGGCCTGTGTCTTGGATTGGTTCAGTTTATAGTATGCTACTTTACCGTAGGTATGTAGGAGTTGCATCAAGGTCGGGAGGGACGTGTTGACTTCCCTTAATGTTAGAAGGATGTCGTCAGCGAACATAGACAGCTTGTATTCGCTGGGGCCTACTGATATGCCTTTAATGTTTGGATGATGTCTAATGATGTACGCCAACGGCTCTAGGGAGAGGACGAACAATAGCGGGGACAAGGGGCATCCTTGTCTGGTGCCGTTAGAGATGTTGAATGGTGTGGACAGAAAGCCTGCATTTGCAACTTGTGCTGTCGGGTTGTTGTAGAGAGCCATGATACCTGAGATGATGTGTGGTGTAAAGCCAAATGCCTGAAGGACGTATTGCATGTAGTCCCAGTTGAGCCTGTCGAAGGCCTTGTCTGCGTCTAGTGCCAGGAGAAGACCTTCTGTGTGGTCAGTGTGGGCTTGTGTGAGGATGTTTAAAATCTTTCGGGTATTATCCGAACCTTGTCTAGTTTTAACGAATCCGGATTGGTCATTATGTGTCAGTTTTGGGAGGATGTTGGATATACGGTTTGCTAGGAGCTTAGCATAGAGCTTCACGTCTCCATTGAGCAGGGATATAGGTCTGAAGTTATGGCATTGTGTAGGGGGTTTGCCTGGTTTTGGGAGAGTAGAGATGTGAGCTTTCAGCATCTCGGGGGGCAGTGAACCCTTCTCATAGGATTGGTTGAATAGCGCCGTTAAATGGGGGGATAGGATGGGTGCAAAAGTTTGGTAGTACATATTGGTATAACCATCTGGGCCTGGTGCTTTGTGTTTGGGCAGTTGTTTTATGGTTTTTTCTATTTCTAGTGTGGTGAATGGTGCTGTTAAAGAGGTTATGTCGTCGGGTGTCAGTTTGGGGAGATTCGCTTTCGCCAAAAAGTTTTGGATGAGGGCTGGCGGGGGCGGTGTTACTTCTGGGTCTTCTTTAAGGTTGTAAAGCGTGCCGTAATAGGAGGCAAATGCATCTGCTATATCTTGTGGGTTTGTGAGTTTTTGGTTCGAGGGTGTGTTAATAAAAGCTATTCTCGTGTTGGCGGAGCGTGCCTGGAGTTGTGCCGCCAGTAGTGCTCCTGCCTTGTTTCCCTGGGTGAAGAAATTGTGTTTGAAGCGTCGAAGTATGTATGTTGTTTTTTGAGTTCAAGGTCTCTGAGTTTAGTTTGCAGTGAGAGAAGGCGGTGTTGGAGGGTTTGTGTGGGGTTGGTTTTATTTTTGTGCGTGAGATCTGTTATCTCTGAAATCAGTGTGGTATAGTCTTTGAGCCTTTGCTTCTTAGCGTAGCTACCTGCTCTAATGAAGAGGCCACGTATGACCGCTTTGTGCGCTAGCCATGTCATTGATATGTCGGTTTCCGGTATTGTGTTTGTGTGAAAGTATGATGTTAAGTCTGCTCTAATTTGGTCCACTACGTTTGGATCTAATAGTAGGGAGTCATTGAGTCTCCAAGTTCCCTTGCCCGCCGTGGGAAATTGTTCCGCTAGGACCAAGGTTATTGGAGCATGATCAGACCAGGTAATTAGGCCAATGTTGGCAGATAGTACTTTTTGCATCATTGAGGTAGGTAGGAGGAATCTGTCAATTCTGGTGTAGGTGTTGTGGACCGGGGAGTGGAAGGTGTAGTCCCGCTCCAGGGGGTGGAGGATTCTCCACGGGTCTAGGAAGTTATTGTGTAAGATCTGGCTGCAATGTCGTGAGGTGGATCTGTATTGTTTGCGGGCTGATGCTCCGGTTAGTTTGTGGGCTGAGGTGGAGTCAAGAGTGCAGTCTAAAAGGAAATTAGTATCCCCGCCTATAATTAGTTCCCCGAACTTATGCAGGGTGGTTAAGGCGAACAAGCTATCTAGAAATTCTGTTTGGTTGGTGTGGGGGCCGTATATGTTGAGAAGTGTGTATGGCTCATTATTGATATAGCATTGTACTAACAGGTATCTTCCCTGTTTATCCCCGATTTTTTTTACCAGTGAGAACGCAACTTGTCGTCCTATCAGGATGGATACCCCTCTTTTTTTCTTTTTGTAACATGAGTGGTAGTCATGGGGGAATAGTTTGGAGCCGAACTTGGGTCGGGCGCCCCATTTGAAGTGGGTCTCCTGATAGAACGCTATGTGGGCTTTGTGTTTTTTCGCCTCCTCTAGCGCTAGTCTACGTTTGTGGGGGGTGTTTAGGCCCTTAACATTCAGGGACAATATGGTGAGCGTCATTATTTGGGTAGTATTTTTGAGCTGGACGGACGGTGAGATGGGACTTGATGCCCCTTATGGTGCCTAGTTTGGTAGTGTTGTAGGAGTACAGTAGCGGGGTATCGTGGGATGTTTCCAGCTTTACTGCGTCGTGCGTTGTGCGGGGGCCGGTCCGAGAGGTTGGGGTCTTGTGTTTATGAATAACAGTGGTGGTTACCTCGATATCGTTATTGTCATGGGGAGGACCGGCCAATATGCCAGCGTGGTTTAGTCGCCTGGTAGGCCATCGTGCGTTCGCGAGTGTGGTTGCATACCTTGGTTGTTGTGCTAGCTGCTTAGCAGGGTTGGGGGGGGGGGAAAGAATGCATATACGTACCATGATCTGGTACAGTAGAGCAGGAGAAACTATATACAGGGTTCCGTCATGGGTAGTGCCGTGTGGCATGGACGGTAATAACAAGGCTCACTTGAGCCCGGGGGGTACAGTGGATGGTCGGGTGTTTGACCCTCAGTGTTTCGTGGGGTCCCATCAATTGGGAGTTGACCCGTGGTTGCCTGGGGACATTGTTTCCTTACATGCCCTCTTTAGGTTGGTCTATGTGCCTCTGGGTAAAATTTAGGTAGGGCACGCACGGTGCCCGTGGGTTTGCATTAGTAGGTGATAATTCTATTGTGTTTTTTTTTTTTGTAAATACGCTTTGCTACTCTATTGTGCATCGCTGCAATGGCCGGGCCCTCTCCGGTGTGGCCCCACCATTGCCGCAAGGCCTAGTCTGGCACATTGTGGGCTATGTAGTGAGAATTTAAAATAAACAAGTCAGATAAAACATTATGCAAAAAATTAGTAGATATGGATATAAAGGTTTTGGAGGAGAGAAACAGTCAGTAGTGTTCATTGGCAGGGGCGCCTAGCCGGCAAGCCCTAGAGTGTAGGATGTAGGCAATAAGGGTGTGGAGATGTCACTTAGCTGAAGTTGCCACATTCCAGTCGGTCTGGACTCTTCTCGGCGGTCCCCGATGCGTCTCTTGGGTGACTCGGTCAGGTGGTTGCGGGAGGGAGATATCCCACTCCTTCAGGAGTCTTGTGCCTTCTTCGCTGTTTGTGATGTGGCGGTCTGTACCATTCCGCCGAACAATTAGGCGGGCTGGAAAGCCCCATCTGTATAGAATGTTGGCCTTTCTCAGGGCTCTTGTGATGGGAGTAAGCTCTCTCCGTTTCGACAGCGTGGAGGCGGAGAGATCTGTGAACAAGTGGACACCTTTAAATTTTTCCGGCAGATCGACGGTGCGCCTGGAGGCTCTCATGATCTTCTCTTTGGTGGTGTAATAGTGCAGTTTTGCAATGGTGTCTCTCGGGGCTGACGCAGGGAGGAATCTTGGCTTTGGTAAGCGGTGTATGCGGTCTATGAGGAAGTCCTGTTGTGAGAGGTCAGGGACCAGATGTTGGAAAAAGCACATGGCGTACGCCTGGAGGTCTTGGGGTAATATTTCTTCTGAGACGCCACGGAGGCGGATGTTGCTGCGCCTGTCCCTGTCTTCGTGGTCCGCCACCTTAGCAGTAAGTTGTTCCAGACGTTCTCTCAGGTCAGTGTAAGCGTCTGCCACGGTGTTGTGGGCAGATATGAGTTCCTCAGTCTTGTCTTCAAGATGGGTTGTTCTCTCCCCTAGTGCCTGGATATCTGTTCTGATGTCCCGCGCTATTTTGGAGAAGTCAGCTTGTAGTGAAGCCTGCATTGCTTTCAGCATTTTGTGTATGGAGAGATCAGTGGCTGGGGCTGCTGAGGGCTCAGAAACCGATGTGAGGTCACTGTGGTCTGAGTAGGCTGCCGGTGATCTCGGCGCGTCGGCGCCATCTTGGGCCTGCTTTCGCGGCGGTGTGAGCGCCCGGACCTGCAGTAAGGTCTGTTTGTGCCTGATTTTTTTTGCTGACCTGGATGCCATGTCCTGCAGAGGGGTCAGTGCTGCGTTTCGACGCTATGTTGGGACGAGCAGTGCTATTTTAATCGCTGTGGAGGGTCAGTGCACGGAGGAGCTAGTAGCCCATGCGTCCGGCTCGTTGCGCTGTCAGGCCACGCCCCCCATAAAAATCTTTTAAAACACAGTTCGCTTGCCCCTTACTACCTCTGCTGACTCCAATCTACTTTGCTCCCTCCACCAAAATAATCTATCATTTCAGGTGTATGCAGATCATTTTAATCCCTCTCAGAGAAACAGCAATATTCACAGAGTTTAACTCTGTGAAATAACGCTGGACATCCTCCCGCTTTTTATAAGGATGTCCAGCATCTTGCAAATTCCCAAAGGCTTAATGCACATGTGGCACTCACTGCGCATGTGCACTGTTTTCCCTCTTTGCTGACATCGCCAGAGACAGTGCCGAGGGCCCTCAGCGCTGGAAAGAGCCATGTGTAAAAAGGTTTTTTCAGCCATTTAATTCCCGTGTGGGGCGGACAATAGCTTTAGAGCAGAGCAGAGGGACACTGCAGCATTAGGAATACAGTTTTGGATATTAGGTCCATATTCTGTGAGATGTCAGGCAGCGTGCAATATCCACATTTGGGTAAACACACTGATGCTTGAAGAAGCAACCTGACTTTCACTTCAGCATGTCTCTTGTATAATGAAGTAGCTTAGCAGCGATTTACCCTAAATCAGATTCTGCAAGTTGCTATTACTTTTACTAAAGATTTGTGAGACATAAATTAGTCCATATAGTATCCATGGGGCTTGCATGGAGATTGGTAAAGAATTACATCCGCCATCCAATGCAGTAAACTATCACTGTAATTATCATGCACATTCCAACTAAGTGGCTAAGTGCACCTAGGACTATCCACATATACCTGAGTAGGACTGGCCTTGGGACATATCTATGTGCATTTAATATAATAAGGACATATTCTTTCAATTGGGGTTTGTATTGTAAGATAGCAGAAACAGTGTTCAGTTGATCTGAGTGAACTGAGATTATATTTTTTACTCAGTGTGCTACTCGTTCCAGATACTCAGTAAATCGCCACTGTGAGGAGAGAATATAATAAAGAGGTTTAAATGTCTCCAATTTCTCAATAGCAGAAGTCCACTTCTTCCTACTGAATGCCATAATGGAACTTGCAGCAAAAAAAGTCTGTGTGCTACAATCAGGTTCAACAAAAAATAACAAAAATAATAATATACATATATAACTATATATATATTCTTGCTTCTAAACTTTGGTCTTTTGTTCAGCAGAATCAGATCCTTTTTAAATGTCAGTTGATAAAGAGTGCATAAATAAAATAAATGTTGTGGATCAATAAATACATTTTGCATTATATTTAGATTTTAATGGGCAATGAATCAAGAAGAAATGAAAGGAAACAAGCAACTTGCCTTGCTCTACAATAATGCTGGGAAACAATCAAAGACAAAACCTTTTTATATCAATGTATGTACTACAGTGAAACAGTTTGCAAATTTTGCTAGTTCTTTGTTTAATGAGTTCTTTGAACTATCAGAGTTCCTTCTCTAAGGTAACATTTTCAAAAATATGTTGCCAAGTTTCTTCTCTCTCTAAAGTTAATGATTCAGCAAGGCATTAAGAGACTTGTTCTGCTTTGTTTCACAAAGAGCAGAAGAATTTAGTAAATGGTAATTTAAACCAGAAGTGACTGATTATGTTGGTATTAGATTTCTTTCAGGCTGCATAAATAGAAATGTTAAAGTGTTCTAGCAATTGCTTATATCATTTCTGTGTTATCAACATCCTCCCTCACCCTAATATCGAAAAGAATCCCCTCCAAAAAAGCTCCTTACCCCAAGCAGGCAAACTTTCAGCTCTCGAATGGCCATCCTTTAAAAGCAGTTTTGTTTCTTCCAACACATCATCAGAAAAGGGCTACACAGACATCTCCCAGGCTCAGCTTCTATACTCTTGTGGATTGCATGCAAATAATTTCCTGACTAAACAAAAAAAGGGAGAGAGAAAGAGGAGGTTTTAATTCCTCCAAAACAAACGGAAACCAGGCTAGGCTATTTATGTCCAGCCTATCACATGGCGTGCAGACAGCTACTCATTTGCTGCTTTCGTAATCTCTCAAAAATGTGGCATATTATACTTTTTTTAAAAATCAACATTTTGGCGTATGCAGGAGTTGGAAAGCATGTTTGGCATTTAACAGAAAAGTGGTATTAATACAGAAGATTTCCAGTGATTTTATTACTTACCTATATACTGTTGACTTTCACTTAAAAACATATTAAATACCAACTAGCTGGGAATTGGGATTTGACAGAACATATTCTTTTATCACAGCCATATTCATATATTACAAAGGTTATTTCAGGAACTAGGACTGGGGGGAACACACAGGGGAATCCTGTGGAAATCCCTTCCCTTTTCCATTAGATGCTTACCCAGTCTCCATTCCTTAAAAAAATCATTAAAAACTAACTTTTTTACAAAGGCATATCATATAAACTGTTAATGGCTCCCAACTGATTCCTCTCCTGCAACTATCATTTAAAAAAAAAAACAATAAATAAAAACCACACTAAGTCTTCAGTGAATACTATTCTACGTCCCTAATACTTCCCTTACCTTTTGTGTCACTTTACCCCACTCCCTCTAGCATGTAAGCTCATTGATCAGGGCCCTCAACCCGTCTGGTCCTGTGAATCAAACTTGTCTGGTTACAATTACATGTTTGTTAGAGTAGTGACTAATACTAGGGGGTCCATTTGGTTGGCCTCAAGATTATCCTTCCTGTTTTAAAAACGTGGCAGGGGTGATCATACCAGGGGCTATCCTAAGTCCTGCGATGCAGGTACAACGGAGTATAGGCCAGCTGATGGTGAGAAAATAAAAGAAACAAATATAGTTAAGCTAAACAAGACTTGGGCAAACAATTATTTAGAGTGAGTTATATGATAACATCTGATGGGGTATCTTGGGGTATGAGCAAGTCTCCTTGCTGAGTAGTAACAGCCGCTAGAGGCGCTTCTGCGACGCTGAATGCGAAAATGACGTGCAGAACGTCCATAGGAAAGCATTGACAAATGCTTTCCTATGGGCGTTTTTAATGCGCGAGGCTCTGGACGCGCATGTGCGTTCTGCTCCACTCGGTAGCTGACATCTGAGTGGGAGGAAAGGGAGGGGGGCCCTGAAGGTAGGGGAGACCTAAGGGTTATATAGTGCCAGGAAAACAAGTTTGTTTTCCTGACACTATAGTGATCCTTTAAGGAGTGTTCAGGGCCTAATAGTGGCAGTATGTGCTTGTCTAGGGTCCTAGTGGAAAATTAAGAAAAACATAAGAAAACTATAGTCCTGGATGAATAATAATAATAAAAACAAAAACAACACCAAGTAGCAAAACATATTATATAGTAATCTTGCGTTTAGCAAAAACGTATAGCGTCAAGCTCCATAGCTTCAGTTAGTGACTACCAGTGGTCAAGTCCTGGGGTAAAAAGTGTGGGAACCCGGAAAAAAAAAATTATACACTTGTATGCATATATAAACAAGTGCACACACACTGACAGATGCACACATACACACTCAGACACACACATACACACTCACAGACACACACTCAGATACACATACACTCACAGACACACACACACACACTCACAGATGCACACACACACTCAGACACTCACAGACACACACATACACTCACAGATGCCCACACATACTCAGACACTCACAGACACACACATAAACTCACAGACACACACACATACTCAGACACACATACATACACACACACACATACACTCACAGACACACACACACAAATTATTCATATATTTTTTTAAATTTACAAATGCCCACCTAGCCTCCCTACCTGGAGAGCTGGCGTTGACCTGTTCTTGGGGTCCAGTGGGGCATCAGTGAGGCAGGCGGCTGTCTACCTGTTAGACGCAGCGAGGGAGCTGTGTTCTCTCTGATCTGCTCCCTCGCGCCGCGCGGGCTGTCTACTGATGCCGGGATACGGAATATGACATCATATTCCAGCTCTTGGCATCAGCAAACGGCGCGCGAGGGAGCAGAGCAGAGAGAACACAGCTCCCTCGCCGTGTCTGACAGGTAGACAGACACCCGCCGTGGGGGTCCATCAGGTGGCCAGCAGGCCATCTCTTGCCCCCCCCCCATGACAGGGGGAACACGGGGGGCATTTTTTGCCGCCCTCTGGTTAGTGCCTGCAGGAGCAACGGGAACTGCATTCCTGCTGTTAAAAAAGTGACTCGAGTCCTGGTGACTACTGCGTAACTATCTGGTGCAGGTTTAGTTTATTGCCCCCTCCCCCTCACTATTATTAGGGTGACGGGGGTAGGTAGGGTATTTTTAATGGGGGGGGAGTGACTAGTGGCTTGGGGACCCCTAGTCACCTTATTATTTGTGGTCCCCACCCGCCGTTCATGGGTGAGGACCTGGGGAGGGACATTAGGTCCTCCCATTATTTATTTTAGGTTCCCCACCAGTCGCTTAAGGGTGGGGACCATGGGGTACATTAGGTCCCTCCTTTAATTTATTAGGGTGACGGGTGGGGACTTTGGGGGACATTATGTCCCCCTTATTATTTATTTCATTAGGGTCCCCACCCGCTGCTCATGGGAGGCGACCAGTGGGGAAATTAGGTCCCCCCTTTAATTTATTAGGGTCCCCACCCGCAGCTCAAGGGTGGGGACCTGGGGGGACATTAGGTCCCCCCCTTATTTCATTAGGGTTCCCATCCGCCGCTCAGGGGGGTCATTAGGTCCCCTCTTTAATTTATTAGCTATAATTTTTATTAGCTATAATTTGAAAAGTTATATACATGCACCTTCTGTCAGTGTTTAAAAACCAACAGTCTTATAGTCTACTCTGCTTCTGTTTAGGGGGTGAAGCAGGAGAGACCACAGAAATTATCTGTTAGTTTTCAACCACTGTCTGACCCAAGGTGCAAGTATAGGGGTAAAGGCCAAAGTGCCGCCAGGAACCACGGCCCCACCAGGACCTATGGAAACGATCGGCCCTGCATACAATTAAAATACAAACATTCGAAAATAGAGACCAGAAACCCGCAAACGGGACCCTCCAAACGCAACAAATACAGCCCCCACACAGTAATGGACATGGGGCGAAAAAACAAGAAATTCCGCCTTCCGGAACCGCTTAAAACACCCGACATTCGGCTTTCCTTTACAAGGCCTAATCTGGCGGCACCAGCCAAAATGGCGCCCGCCGCACCCAGCGAGGAGGAAGCCTCGGATGACTCCCAGGAGGGCAGAGACAGCCCCACCTCATCTCAGGCAGAAGACGGAGCCCAGTGTCAGGCATCTGAATCTGAGGAAGACTCATCCCCAGTTACAAAGAGGGATATTAGAGATCTCCTAGAGGAAATGAGGGGGGTGTGGAGGGCAGACTTGCAGACAACAAGGAAGGAGATGGGGGTCATCCAGAAGAGGCTCACCGAAGTTGAAGCCAGAGAAAGCGCCAGAGACGCCCAGCAACAGATCTCCAGTGACGCTGTGCAGGATCTACGCTCACAGATCCAGCAGCTCAAGAGGACGGTCACAACGCTGGAGGTCCGCCACAGAAGGCGAAACATTCGCATCAGAGGCATACCAGAGACCATTGGGGACGAAGCCCTGTTGAGGTACATATCCCGCCTTATCACCAGAATGGAAATAAGGTTGCACACCGAACCAGACAAAATAGTAACCGCATTTAGAATACGCAAAGCCGCCACAGCGCCAGCAGAATCCCCAATAGACGTCATAGCGGTCACGAAAGATATACAAACCCGCTCAGTGATCATGGCCCGCTCCCGAGAAATAGGAAGCATTCAATTCGAAGGCAGTACAGTGTCCCTTTATGGAGACCTCCCGTTCGCAGCCCTAGTGGAGCGGAGACAACTAGCATCAGTGGCTAAACAATTGAGAGCGGAGGCAGTCAAATATTGGTGGGGGGCAGATGGATCCCTAACAGCAATGAAGGGATATCGGACATTCACACTCACCTCCGCGGACAACCAGGCGCAATTTCTCCGCCAGCTGAGAAGACAAGAGGCGGAAAACAACGAACCCAGAGAAGCCGACACTTGGAAGCAAAGACACACACAGAGCAAACCAGGGCCCACAAAGAGTCACCACACTTCAGCATCACTGAGGAGACAAATCCTCACCTAAGCAGCTTACCACAGCACTCACTCAGAGGACCACCAAATCCCAGGTGGCAGAGAGTATATACGCAACACCACACTGATTGGGAAAACCATAAACCAAGTTATACGCCCCAGAAATCCAATTCCAGATGTTATACCATTCTAGCTAAAGCTAGAGACATTCCTCTCCCTAATGTTTAGCTTACAGAGAGCACAAGGTTGGAGACCCCACAAACACCCTTGAAAATGGGACTGTCTGCATTAATACAGGCCTGAGAAGAGGCGTAACAAGGGGTCAGAAGGGACCTGAGGTTACAGAGTAACCAACAATAGACGCTTTAACAATGGTACCATGGACTGTTACAGAAACTTTGTTTTGTTGCTCTTTACATTTCCCATTCTATGACACTGTTGTATTATGAGTACTAAACCTCTAATAAAAAATAAAAAAATAAATAAATACAAACATTCAAGGGGGGAGGTGGGGACGGACCACCGAGCTGGACGGTCGCAAGGAAGACCAGCTCCTGCAACTTAAGACCAAATAAGCCATGAAACCAAGATTTTCAACTCAAAAAACGGTCGGCAGTGGCGGACCTTATCCGGTGGAGAGTACTGGATACAGGGTGAGGCTGGCCCAATAGGTTTCAGTCCCCTGGAGGAAGAATGCTCACTGGCACAAACGAGGACTACTCCAGCAGTGAGTGGAGCAGACGCCGCTGTTCCACTATCCCGCCCATCAGTGCTCAGCCAGGAGCCAGATCCGCAAGGAACTGGCCCCGTTGCCCGCCCCCTTTTGGGCCGGGGGGGTGATCCTGGTCCTCACCCTCAAGCCCCGACCACTGCAAAGCACCCAAGGTGCAGCAGCAGTACTTCCCCAACCCGCAACCAAGACACTACAACCAAAATGTCGGAGGCCATGTGTGATAGCGCCGAGACCAGAGCCACCACAGGCTACTCACCCGCATTGGCAGTAAACAGGATTGATCGCAGGCACCGGCAGCACAGACTACTACTGCGGCCATCCACCCACATGCACCCTTGCTCCCCGACAAGCAATTCACCTCACAAAACTGCGATAGGCAGCGGAGAGGGAGGTACAGCAGGCAAGCACAAGCCAAACAGAACAGACCACAAGATCATTAACCGCTACACGCCACTCTCCCGGCGAACCAAGATCCAGAGGTACCTTGCCGGGAGCCACACGCCACTCCAGGTCTGCCGCACAACGCCTACCAAGCGGCCCCAGTGGAGTCACACCACACACAGGCACCCGACCTGCAGCGGGAACGCCCGCCTTGCTGCAGCATCCCTCACAGACATTCAAGCACCTCCGAACGGGGGAGACAGCGGTCACTGGACTGACCTTGTGGGGCACACAGCAAGCACCAGATGGGAACACCTTCACCCTTCCGGACTATGAGCACAACACCTATCAGGCATGGGCTAAAAGTACACCATTCTGCAGCCTGCCAGTCACAAGGGACTAAGGCCATATCAAGCAGTGGTACTTTGCCTATGTTTCATGCTGGCAAATAGTGAAATCTTTAGCATGTTTAATGTTAGCAAACAGGGATTTCTCCCACATGTTTTAAACTAGCAACCAGTGATACCTTTTAAATGTGTGATAGTGGCAACCAGTGGTATCTTATAAATGACTTATGCGGGCAACCAGTGATATCTTTTCAATGTTTTATATTGGCAGCTGGCGATTTCATTATAGTGCAGTTATATTATGTTCAATTATTTTTATTTCATGCAGCACCACCTTCAACCACAAACTAGCTGGTGTTTAACTGTCGCTGCACTTTTAAGTCTGCTATTATAACAATCTGCAATTATTCCTGCCTAGAATTACTCTGAGGGTAGACCTAGTCTGTGGAACAGCATAATGTACGTAAAGGGTGTTGACAGCATACAAGCATGGCTCATTTCACTTGACCTCTAACCCTTAACAAGCTTTCTTTAACTCTTACTAGCGGACCATTGATCCACATTATGTTTTAATCAGGCATCACAAGTCAGTGCATCATATACGGCACACATAACAACGCACACTCTCATCTCATATAGATGCAATATGTAAGCTAAGGATCGACGACATGACAAACACCTAAGCGTGGCGATACGGCTAAGTTTACATTTACATACACATAGTCGGCGCACCCTTGGCTGCACCCAGTTACAAACGAAGTGTGACCCACCAACTCACTGACCAAGCTGACCTAGACCGCTTGCGTAACTAACGCTGCATTATCGGAGTAATTACTGGCCTTGACCTGTACTGCTCAAGCCTGTTATTCCAGCCATGTTACTCTATACTTAATTTAAAAAAAGAAAATGTGCATTGTTTACTCGTCCCCTACTGTATCTATTGTTTATGAAACCAGGGTGTGGAATGCCGTTGGGGTACCACAAGCATGTCTGTTACAACCATAAGCACTACAAAAATAAAGAATTTAAAAAAAAATACAAACATTCAAAAAGTCTTTTACAATCATATAGTACCGATAAGAAATAATATTACAGAGTACTCGACTTAACAAATAAAAATAATAATTTTTATAATTCTAATTTATAAACACCTTTTGATTAGCAGACTTATAAACTCTCTGCTAAAAATGCATACATACATATAAATATGCATACTCATTAAAATTAATGAGTGTTAGTTTTTATGGATTCTTTTAATAATTGAGATCTTGGTTTGTCAAAGTTAAAATTGTATACAACTTTGCTCTCTTTTATACTGTAACACTGCAGAGCCACTTCTACCAGAATCAGATTTCTTACCTCGTTTATTGATTTTAGTGTGTCCTATTTTAACAGAGGCCCCGCAAACTATGATGATGACGGTTATAACCACAAGTATCTGTCTGACTGCGTCTGTTTATCTCTTCCATATATAATGTGACGGACCCGCTTGGCACTCCGACCGAGTACCTCCGCCAATCGATGCTATCCCCCAAGCATGAGCCAAGGCTTCAAGAAAGGGTCAAGCAGGTCTGTTTAATGAGCACACAAAAGCAACAGCACTCATGCAGCAAAACAACTCCTCCTCAGAGGAAAACAAAATGACAGTTAAATGGTCAGACAGTGTTTTGGGTCAGACGGTGTTTAAATGTAACAAGGTATTAAGGGTTTAACTGGTGTTCTAGGAGGGGGGGGGAATAAAACAGTCAAACTAAGTTCATAAAACAGGGGTTTTCATCACACACCCCAAGGGCCATAGTCACAGGGCAAGAGGCTGGCAAAAGGTTACTTTTGCCACATATCTCCCCCTCCTAGGGAAGACTAACCAGGTACCTGACCTCATGCAGGTTGGTACCTGAGTTAGTCTGGCAGCCCACCCACAACCAAATACTGGACCTGGTGAATTTGGTAGCCTGTCTCTGTCCAGTGAGTCCATCAAGGTTGTGTTGGTATCTGGTACTCCTGGTCTCTGGGTGGCTCTCTGGCTTGCAGTGGAGGTTACTTGGGGGTAGAGATCAGCGGTGCTCTGCCCTGGGGCCAGCGCTTTAGCTGGGTAAACCATTGCACAGTCTGGCCCTGTAGTAACGGGATAGGTAGGGCAGAGGCCAGCGGCGCTCTGCCCGGATGCCAGTGCTTCTGCTGGAAGGGGGTCAGTGTGTATCGCAGACCCATCCACTGCCCCCAGGACTCGGTTGGGAATTAGCTGTGGAGAGGAGGGTTCGCTTACCTCCTCCTCCTGGTATCCCTGCGGGGATGCTTGGGGATCTGGACCAGTCCAGATCCGTCCAGCATCCCTGTAGGATTGGCACAGAGACCGTTGTCCCATCTGCGCCAGTGGGGTTAGGGTTGCTTTCCCCCTGTAGTTGCGGTGAGGGACCAGTTGTACCCTCTCCCGGTATCTCCGGCTGCTGTTGGAGGATGAGGTCAGTTGCCTCCACTCTCCAGAACACTGGTTGCTGTAAGGTGGAGGGATTGGAACATCTCCTCCTGGATCCAGATCGCCTGGCAGGTATCCATGGACACATTAGGATCATACCAGGCCACTCGCTGCCTCACCTCAGCCAGCCAATCGTAGTCAGAGTCAGAGCATTCCATATCTGTCTTCTTCAAGTCGCTGGATACCTCTGCTCCCAGGGGCGCTGCACGAGTGCTAGCGTTGCCCTCACTATACCAGTGTCTCTGAGCTGCTTCTCCTCGTACTAGGACGCCATCCCACTGCTGCCACCAAATGTGACGGACCCGCTTGGCACTCCGACCAAGTACCTCCGCCAATTGATGCTCCTAGTGCTCGCCGAGGACTCCAAGCACTCCAACCGACACCATCAGCACTGCAGACTTATCCCATCCCCCAAGCATTAGACAAGGCTTCAAGAAAGGGTCAAGCAGGTCTGTTTAATGAGCACACAAAAGCAACAGCACTCATGCAGCAAAACAACAACTCCTCAGAGGAAAACAAAATGACAGTTATAAGGTCAGACAGTGTTTGAAAATATGACAGTTATTGGGTCAGTGTGTGTTTGAATGTAACAAGGTATTAAGGGTTTAACTGGTGTTCTTGGGGGGGGGGATAAAGCAGTCGAACTAAGTCCATAAAACAGGGGTTTTCTTCACACACCCCAAGGGCCATAGTCACAGGGCAAGAGGCTGGCAAGCGGGCCTCTCCAAAACACAGTGGCAAGGTTACTTTCGTCACAATGACCACTAAGGCATTTCCACCGGATTGGAAAACATCTTGTTACTATTTTTCTACTAGTGGTTGCACGTGGTAATTCCTGCATATCTGTAAACGGTGTTGGATGGAATAAAAAAGAAAAATATATAATAACCTCTGAAGCACCTCCATTTATCTCTGAATTATTGTGCACTCTATTTCTCGAGCAGTATAGCTTAATGTTTAGACTGGATGGGTCTGTCTCATGGACTTCAGATTGCCTAAGGTATAGAGACACTGAAAAGTATATTTTGTCTACCTTGGAGCCTACTTACTACTTTAGCAACTTTACTATTTATCTTTAACCATGTTTTAAAGGATACTTCAACATGGTTTAGGAAATTCCTATCACTGCATATGAGATTTTAAAATTACACAATGAATCAACATCTCAAAAATCAATATAAACACATAATCAGTTCATATAAACAACAATTGTAATACTACCATTCATTCATCATTCAGACTGATAGAGAGGGAACAGGGAAAAATCTAAATTGCTATTGATGTACTAAAACAATGTGTTTCTCTCTAGTTCCTGTTATTCTCAGAGGAGTGGATCTATGGTAAATATTGGTGATTTTTCCTTGCAAAGGGGGAAGATTCCCAAGAAAGAAGCCCATATCTTTAGGAAGGATTCTAACTGGTTGTTCTTTTTATAATATACTTTCTCCAGTGTAAATTGATAATTAACTTGGTTCATTACTTCGAACCAATCTAACTGGCCTTGTTGTTTCCAGTTTCTCATTCTACAAATTTTAAAAGCAGGCAATATATGCACCAATAGACCTAATGATGTTTTTTACAATTTAGGCATAGCAACAATGAAGAGGAGGAACTGTGGGGTCAAATGGAAATCACAACTAAAAATTGTTACTAAAATTCTGCAAAGTTTTAATTTAAGAGAATCTAATTCTTTACACTCCCACCAGATATGGAAATGGGTGCCTTTGCTATTATTGCACCTCCAACATTGATCAGAGTGAATATTATTAATCCTATTCAATTTGGATGGAATTATATACCACTTGTATACTATTATGTAATGTAATTCTGCCAAGTTTATACAGTGAATTTTATACTTTGTCTCCGTTCTCAAATTTATTTATTTTTTATAATTCTTTATATTACTTGTGCATGGGGAGGTACAAATAGGCTACATATAACAAGAGAAAACATGCTGGGTTTCACCAAAAAGAGCACTACGAGAGAGAGATAGGAGGGTCCAGAGCACCACGGAATAAAAGTAAAACAACATTTGACCATAAAATCGTAAATTAAAAGGGGTAAATGAAACATGTCGCTTCAGCTGTAGATTAGGCCCGAGGGGGGATGAAGCAAAGTCTCTTGTGTGACTTTCAGCCTATGCCGGCCATGGGCAAGATGCAGCCCTTTGCTATGGCGCCATTCAGCGGACCAGGAGTCAGAGGTGGCAGTGAGGTAATACCTGGATGGTATGTTAGGCCCTTTGCCGCTTGTGGTTTTCCTGCTGTGGACCTCCCAGGAGATCTCTGTCTTGGTTGGCACTGGTGTATAGACCAACGCACTGCTTTCCCTGGTTGCCGCCGGCGCAGTCTGTGTCTCTTGAGGCAGGTCGTCTTGGGGTCTGCGGCCATGCGTGGATTATTGTGACTGCTATGTCGCTGTGCAGAGGAGCGGTGTGGTAAAGCTAGTGCGGCAGGCTGGAAGTACCAGCACAGCAAGCTTCTTCACGGAGGCAATTCAGCTGTTGCTGTGCT